GGTTTGTATGGCAGACCTGAAGATTTTACATACAATTATCAATATACAAGGAGAAACTGGTGAGGCTTCACTATATTACTGTGAGGAAATATACATATAACCTTTAACTGTGGGTTGAGTGAGGAAATTAGGAATTACATTATACAGAGTATTCAGTAAAATAAACAGAAGCAAAAACAAAAATGATTTCAATAAAAGTATGAAATAACTCATTAATAAAGCTTTCATAAAAAAACATGATTTTGCTCAGCTTAAAAAAAGCCTAAATTATTTAACATTGTGAGTCCCTGCTTTGTTCTCTTTCCAGCTAATCTTCTGCAACTACAAAAAAAATTAAATAAAATAGAAAAAAAAACAACACAAACACAAACTAGTTAATTTGATTATTTCAGTCACTGTTCATGCGAATATTGATCATGAGGCAGAAGCGTCACAATCAGATGCGGCGCCGGCAGCTCGGCTCCAGGGGTTACTGCTCCTCGTCATCTTAGAAGGAGAGTCTCCTCCATTCTGTTCTCCTGACAGTGAAAAGAGACACTGGATCATTATTGGAAACAACGTGTAGTTATTTTTGGCATCTTAAAGGTTATCAGGATTCTCTGTTTGCTAACAGATATTTCTCCCTCCTGTTTTGGTCTTACTTTCAAACCTTTCCATCTTTATGGGAAATGAAATCATTACTCATCTGTAAAAGACAATTTTATTATATTTTCTTTCTGTAAACAATGTTTTTCTTTATGAAACATCAACAATTTTCAATTAAACTGCCACCTGCTGCGGTATCTTTGTGTACAAAGTGTACTAAGGATGTTATCCTTAACAAAGAAGATATGGATTTAATTTCTGACCTTATAACCTTTGCAGCTTGCTCCTCTCTTTAGTCCATTAGTGCATAGAAAACTAATACAAGAAAAATTGCTTCTATCATAACAATAGATACGGAAATCCTCCTAAATTAAAGATTAGGAATATTTTTCTAGCAAAGACTGTTTGGGGATCTATTGGTTTTCAGTGATAAAAAGAGATTGCATATCCTTAATCTTTTTTCCTGTTTGCTATATTGTGCAATGTGCACAAAAGCAATTTCAGCTTTTGTCAGTGAGTATATCTCAAAGACATTCCTTTCAACACAGAGGAATGCTTTTTGATGACAGTGCAGAGTTTCTGCACCCGGAAATCCTTGCTTGTCTTGTAACCAACCAAGTATTCATCTTTGTTTCACTACAGCAAACCGTGAGCACAAATTGAAAATATATATATCATTGCTGTAAGGCGGCAAAGCATTTCTCTGAATCTGGACTTACTGATGAATATATAAGCAATTGTGTCTTCCTCTAATGTACTAATCAGCAAGCGATTTTCAGATACTGTGTTTTTGACAAAAGAATATAACAACTTTTTGTTCATTGTTCATAGGTAATGAATATATATATATATATATATATATATATATATATATATATATATATATATATATATATATATATATATATATATATATATATATATATATATATATATATATATATATATATATATATATATATATATATATATAGTTATTGTACTCAGCGTCAGATATAGAGAAACAGGTTATTGCACATGGTATCAAATATTGATTGCAAATTATACATTGCACAAGTTTTTGCCATTGTAGTTACTTGGTTAAAGTCGGGTAATGCAAAAAAAGGTCACAGGTGACCTGAAGTGCTGAGATCTGAAACTCTGTGGGGATGTCTTTCCTTATATTAGTGTTGATCTTCAGGATGGCCTTCTTGTTTCACATGTTTCTCTTCTCCTTCCTCTTTTTTATGGTTTCTAATGGTGGAGGAATTAAAATGTTAAAGTGCATTACCACCAGAAACTGGAACAGAGAGACAGGATGAGGGCAATAATCAAGAACCTGTACTGTAGGATAAAAAATATGTTTTTTTTTTTTTTTTTTCTATAGCTCTTTCATATTATTTCTGTAAGAAATAAGTCTAATATTGGACCTTTGGGAATTTTCACAAAATGTTATTTTCCACCCATGAATGTTTAAAAAAATAATGCATGATAAGTATTAAGTTTTATTTATTTTTTCTGCAGTGAAATCTTACACCTATTTATTGGCACTTTTCAGTTTTGTTTATTCGCACATTAGATATCCAACTCAACCAGTAAGTAGGTGGCTGTTTAAAGCTTTTAATAGTGGTCTCTATCCTCTGAGCACGACTCTAACTAACAGAACAATACATACAATGTTCTGTTTTTTGTTTGAAAAGTTTCCACAATCGAGATCCTTTTACAAATAATAACAGCAGAAATAAATCAATTAGTAGAGATAAAGTAAATTAGCACTGGGGTGCCAAATTAAGTTATCTCTATGTAAGTTTCAAGTTGATATAATCAGAAAATAATTATAATTTCTTTGTTGGCAGTTAATTTCTTTTCCATTTTTTTCTTTTCTTAATCAAGAATGAAGAATCTTTAAAGTCATAATGAGACTGTTATGAAATTTCGCTGAGACATCCAGCCCAAGATCCAACATATAATTCACAGACATATAATAATATTAAAACACTTTGAGAAAAAGAAATAAGCATCCTTAGAGGAAACCCTAAAAAATACAAAATACCCTTAGTGTGTTTTAGCGTGTTGGTTAAGGCATACTGTAGAGCTTGGAATCCTGAGGTTCTGAGTTCGAGCCCCACTCCCACAGACTGCCACTCTGGGTCCCTGAGCAAAGACCCTTAACCCCACACTGTAGTAAATTTCTCCAATGTGAGATCAATAAAGTTCAATTATTATTATTATTATTATTAAACTTAAAGGAATAGTAAAAACATTTGTTGATGAGATTAACATCACTGGAAGAAAAATGTGTACATGCAAATGAAGCATGCAGTATTTGTTAAAAGAGCAAACTGTACTAAAAGAGTTTATGCAATGGTTTGATAATCTGTTTGCCAATAGGGATTTTTGTTGGGTGTCATCTTATTTGGGGGGGCGGTGTCTGTGTGTGAAGGTGATATGGGATGTAAGTGTCTGACTACAGGGGGGTTACTGCATTCATTGCTTTAGGAAAAAACTTGGTTTTAGGTCTATTTGTCTTGGATTGAACGTTTCTATATTACTTTACTGACCCACGTGGGACAAACATCACATTGTCTGTATGGGTGGGGTCTGTGGAATTGTGTCACACTTCTCTGCACTTGTGCATAAACTGAATCCAGAGCTGATTGATGGGATCCCACAGGCTCCTGTGATGTCCTCAGGATGAGGCAATCCCTGGAGCATCACTGGGTCAGATTAAGGACCTCCTCTCTGTAGAGGGTCTCATCACACTAGAGTAGTGTCACAGTGGGATGCGGATGTAGTGGGACTTCTCTTTAAGATCATTCCAAATACTGCAGGTTGTAAATTTTTTACCTAATCTAATTTCATCTTTTCTGTTACTTGTTTTTGTATTCCTGGCAGTAAAGGCGAGCAAAGGGAGGGAAGCCAACAACAGGTTCCCATTGAATATGCTAAAGTTTATAAATAACTTACTACACTATAAAAGAACACTGAAGGTTATTAGCAGGCCCCAGATATTATTTTTGATGGTAGAGAAGTATTCTCGTAGTACAGTTACACACATGGTATAAGGGATACATGATTTATTTGTATAATCTGTATTTAGTTTGCATATTTATTCATTTTATAACCTATTACAATTACTCTCTGTTTACTTAAGCCTTTTATAGTCCATGCATACGTAGTCTCTGTACATATGTAAATAAATATTTATATTCTGTATAGCACTTCTGGATAGATGCAAACCACATTACATTGCTTCATACAAGTGACAGTGTAATGACAATAAAGTTATTGCCATTACACTGTCTAGAATAGACTAAGTCTATTCTATCGTGTTCATTTTTTAAAATTTTCCACTTTTTAAGGTGAGATTTCGAGTTTGAAATCAATATTTTATTTAGGATGAGAAATCCAAAGAATAAAAGGCAATGTCTTTGGTTAAAAAACAAAGTAAGTGATTTAAGGGGACTTAACTATAGCCTGTTTCAGTGTTAGATGTGAACTATTAATGATTCTTACTTACTAACCTCTCTACTTTACTTAGAATTATAAAAATGGATTTGTGACTGCTAGTTTTGCTTTATCTAAAATGTATTTTCTAATCTAAAATGAATGCATGTAAAGCTTGACGAAATCTGAGAAATTATGCATATAAATTAGGATATTTTGTGCTATTTTGTGTCACCTGTTAATTAACTGTTAATGTGGAACTGCTGAGTCTGATGGAATGGGTTGAACATACAGGGCTGTTTGGCTTGATAACCAGGTCTCTCTACAGCAACCCCCCCCCCACTCATCCCTAAACTGTTGGTAATAGGACCTAGGACCAGATTCTTTCAGGATGTTTTTATTTCATAATAATCATGTCTCCAATGCAGTAGGCTTTAATACACGCATAAGTCGTAAAATCATAATAATTATAATTGCATGATTAAGCTGTGATAACTTTTGAAATTGATGATGATAAAAATCATAACTGATTGATACAATTCTAATTATTTGAAATATGTTATTTTCAATTCAATTCCATTATACTTTATTAATCCCTGAAGGGAAATTCAGTATTTTACTCTTAAATAAAATGTTTATAAGGCTTATGTTGTTCTTGAGCTTGGTTTTATGATTAATCAGTTAGAGACAAAATGTTTTATATTTTATGCCAACAGTTGTACAACTGTTTTGATTCATCTGTCCTACAATTTTCACAGTTTATTTTAATTGTACCTTATAGATTTCTGTACTGTTTTTCCCTTTATTTATCACTCATGAAGCCTAAATTGTTTGGTTTCACTCTATTAAATGAACATTGGTCTGGAAATAAAGCTGATTAATCATCTGATGCTGCCAAGATATTTAATAATAGGAACTATATTTTGTATCAAGCGGAGTTATATTCACGTAAGCGAGAGGTTCGGCTACGCTTTTTCAGTATACGTGCGCTACTATTGCTATGGTAACCAGATGCCTTTCCCTTTCAAAGTAAAGCGTCCAAAGCACCATAGCAACCACTGACAGGTAAGCTGCTGTGAAGTTTGTGCGCGATAGATGCCAATTTGGAGCCACCTCGTTTCTTTATGTTTTTTTCTGTTTTTCATCTCAGCTGTTAAAGGAAATGCCAAGAACTAAAGATGAAGAAAAACTTGAGGGTTTCACCGTTAAAGCCCTCAACAAGAACTCCGTGGGTGAAGGCCCTCCAACCGCAGGGCTGTTTCAACAACGGCCGATCAAACCCACCACCTTCCGGGAGTATTATGACAGCAGGCGGATCCCTATCGCTTTGGACTACAACAGAAAAGGACACAAAATAAAGTGGACGGTGGACATGGATAAACTGGACTGCCAGCAGCACCTGCCTCTATTCTTTGATGGCCTCCGTGAGACAGAACATCCTTACAATGTCCTCGCAGAGCAGGGGATTTTTGACATGCTGAACCGCGGGGGGGACAAGATCCTCCCCGTCGTGCCTATGCTCATCATGCCCATCAGGAACGCAATGAACACCAAGAACCAGACAGTGACGTCCACCACCCTGAAAGTCCTGCAGCATATGGTGGAGTCGGTTGACGGCATGGGGTTGGCTTTGGTGCCTCACTTAAAGTACATCCTGCCCGCTTTTAACCTCTTCAAGTACAAGAAGAGCGTGGGAAACCTGATCGAGGAGACTCTGCGGAAACTGGAATACTACGGTGGCCCGGAGGCCTACAAACAAATTAAACTCATGGTCCCCACCTACAGCACTGTATATTGACAAATCAAAAAGAATATCAGTGTTGTATTGATTTATTTACATAATTTTCTTGTGATTTATTTCAAGCTGTAAGCTACATACCTTGTTGTGTGGAGTGAAAATTCGTTGCATACACTATTCTAACCCTTTAAGGTTATATTTCATTTAATATGTCATTCCTGTCCTATCCAGGGCTTGATTCAGGCAGATCTGAGCACTTATTGCTGCACTATCAACTCAAAAAGAGATTTTTTTTATTTGCCATTATAGGATTTCCAGATATTACAGCCATCAAATAAACATACAAACATATTTTAATTCTCATATTATCTTATTTCTAAAATTCTGCTTTGAAAATTTAGTTTAATTGTTCTAAATGTACCTTTATTGTGAAGAAATCAGTAAAACCTATCCAGATAAAAAAAAAAAAAAAAAAGCCATACAAATTGCTACGGAAGAGGATTAGGGCCACAGAAAAAAAAAAGTAAACTGATTTTTAAATTTTATTTCAGTTTAACATGGGAAAAAAGTCAGAATTCTGACTTTTTTCTCAGAATTCTGACTTTAATCTCAGAATTCTGACTTTTTTTCTCAGAATTCTGACTTAAATCTCAGAATTCTGACTGAATTCTGACAATAAAAAAAGTCAGAATTCTGAGAAAAAAAAGTCAGAATTCTGAGATTAAAGTCAGAATTCTGACTTTTTTCTCAGAATTCTGACTTAAATCTCAGAATTCTGACTGAATTCTGACAATAAAAAAAGTCAGAATTCTGAGAAAAAAAGTCAGAATTCTGAGATTAAAGTCAGAATTCTGAGATCAAAGTCAGAATTCTGACTGAATTCTGACAATAAAAAAAGTCAGAATTCTGAGAAAAAAAGTCAGAATTCTGAGATCAAAGTCAGAATTCTGAGATCAAAGTCAGAATTCTGAGAAAAAAGTCAGAATTCTGAGAATTCTGCTAGTTTTGCTTTATCTAAAATGTATTATCTAATCTGAAATGAATCCATGTAAAGCTTGACGAAATCTGAGAAATTATGCATATAGATTAGGATATTTTGTGCTATTTTGTGTCACCTGTTAATTAACTGTTTATGCTCTAAAAACATTCTAAATGACTTTGTTTCGAGTAAATTATGGACGCTACCCACTCAGGACACTTGGAATACATTGGACGAGCAGTATGGAGGAATATTGACACGTTTTTTGTGGACTTTTATGGACCTTTCTGCCTCGGGCGCCATAGACCTCCATTATTTGAATGTCAGCAGACAGCAAGAAGCCTCCCAGATCTCCAGATGCATTTGAGATATCAAAAAAGTACTCCAGGGTGTTGTTCAGCATGGGGGTGAGTAGAAAATGAAGGCTAATCATGTTTTGGGTGTACTATTCCTTTAATGATTCTTACTTACTAACCTCTCTACTTTACTTAGAATTATAAAAATGGATTTGTGACTGCTAGTTTTGCTTTATCTAAAATGTATTATCTAATCTGAAATGAATCCATGTAAAGCTTGACGAAATCTGAGAAATTATGCATATAAATTAGGATATTTTGTGCTATTTTGTATCACCTGTTAATTAACTGCTGAGTCTGATGGAATGGGTTGAACATACAGGGCTGTTTGGTTTGATAACCAGGTCTCTCTACAGCAACCCCCCCCCCCCCCCCCCCCCCCCCCCCCCCCCACACACACACACACACACACACACACACACTCATCCCTAAACTGTTGATAGGACCTAGGACCAGATTCTTTCAGGATGTTTTTATTTCATAATAATCATATCTCCAATGCAGTAGGCTTAAATACACGCATAAGTCATAAAATCATAATAATTATAATTGCTTGATTAAGCTGTGATAACTTTTGAAATTGATGATGATAAAAATCATAACTGATTGATACAATTCTAATTATTTGAAATATGTTATTTCCAATTCAATTCCATTATACTTTATTAATCCCTGAAAGGAAATTCAGTATTTTACTCTTAAATAAAATGTTTATAAGGCTTATGTTGTTCTTGAGCTTGGTTTTATGATTTATCTGTTAGAGACAAAATGTTTTATATTTTATGCCAACAGTTGTAAAATTGTTTTGATTAATCTGTACTACAATTTTTGCAGTTTATTTTAATTGTGCCTTATGGATTTCTGTACTGTTTTTCCCTTTATTTATCATTCATGAAGCCTAAATTGTTTAGTTTCACTCTATTAACCTCTTGGACACTAGGCCTGTTTTCGAGAAATATGCTTGAAAATAACATGCCCAAAATGAATTGAATATATCTCAAGAACTACAGAGTTTATTTTAATTGTTTTGGTATCAAAATAAAGGCAAGACCCCAGAAAATATGTTACAGGTCTAAAAACCATCTTGCCTGTTACTAGGGACCCAAATTTGGGTCCTCATGTTATGAAGAGGATGAACATTGTTCTGGAAATAAAGCTGATTAATCCTCTTTTGCTGGTAAGATATTTAATAATGGGAACTACGTTTTTATCAAGCGGAGTTATATTCACGTAAGCGAGAGGTTCGACTACGCTTTTCCACAATACGTGCGCTAGTATTGCTATGGTAACCAGATGCCGTTCCCTTTCAAAGTAAAGCGTCCAAAGCACCATAGCAACCACTGACAGGTAAACTGCTGTGAAATTTGTGCACATTAGATGCCAATTTGGAGCCACCTCATTTCTTTATGCTTTTTTTTCCTGTTTTTCATCTCAGCTGTTAAAGGAAATGCCAAGAACTAAAGATGAAGAAAAACTTGAGGGTTTCACCGTTAAAGCCCTCAACAAGAACTCCGTGGGTGAAGGCCCTCCAACCGCAGGGCTGTTTCAACAACGGCCGATCAAACCCACCACCTTCGAGAGGGACCTCGCTGCAGCCTGCAGAATGGGGCGGGACTGACCTTTCCGTCTGTCTCATACCTTATATGGAAATGGAACTATTGCATCCCGGAAATAAAGGGGGCGCTATTTTTATAATCACTAATATAAATACCTTAAAGACGCGGGTTTAAGAGGAAAAGAATAAGACAGAAATAACTTTGAGAGGTTGTTGCAAGAAGGTTGTTGTTCGGCACAAAACCAACAATGCAAAACTCACAGAGTAAACAAAAGGTATTTTTACTTTATTAAAAAATGTTTACATAGTAAATCGATACGCTTTCCTACGTTAGTTTGATAATATAATTAACAGCTGTAAACTAGTGAAATTTGTAATTCATACAGGGGAAGGCTAATGTTAGCATGTAGCATAGCTAATTATTTCCCCGCACTATTAGATAAAAAAGAAGATGACATGTTTAATTGAGAAATGTTTTTTATGCTCAAACGTTTTTTATTTTCATTATACAGATCCACCTGTCCGTTTGCAATGTTCGGAATGGAGAGAAGATTCTCCCCAATTGCATAAATAATAAATATCGCTGTCCCCTTTGCTCGTACAGTACTAACGAGTTGTACAAGGTTCAGAACTATATTGAAAAAAACAGCTATGGTTCAACATAACTATATGTAAAACTACACTTGAAAAATATAAAATATTTTTTTTACATACTTGCCAGTTTTCTAATGTTTTTCTTTCATTTTTAAAGGTTAATCTTTTTTTTAAATATGTTTTGTACACCAATGTCAAATTTCTGGAAAGTCTAATATTTTTTATAAACTAACAGCTGCCATTATAGGTGGGTGTAGGACCCAGATGTGATACTCTAATGATGAGTAGCACTACTTTAAATATACACTGCTCAAAAAAATAAAGGGAACACTCAAATAACATATCCTAGATCTTAAATGAATGAAATATTCTCATTATATACTTTGTTCTGTACAAAGTGGAATGTGCTGAGCAGCAGGTGAAATTGATTGTCAATCAGTGTTGCTTCCTAAGTGGACAGTTTGATTTCACAGAAGTTTGATTTACTTAAAGTTATATTGTATTGTTTAAGTGTTCCCTTTATTTTTTTGAGCAATATATTTTTAGTAAGTAACTGTGCAATAAAATACACAAGTAAGAGAAACAAAGTATTTGGTGAAATGGCTTTTATTAAGAACTGTTTTGCTGATCATAATGTGCAATGTAATATTACCCATTTATTTCAGCAGACATGAATAAAACGGTGAACATAAAAGTTATGTGCACTGTTAGGTATTTTAAAACCAAAAATGAAAAATATTAATACAAGACAACAAATTAAGGTTAGAAAAAACAAACATAAACAACATTTTCTGTTTGTCGTGTATTATTTATTTATGGATTAAAATGTGTTTTCATTCAGTTAGTTACTTGTATTAGGTAACATATCAACAAAATTTACTTAAGAGTATAACATATTAAAAAATAGCCCTAATTTTAATTTTTTTAATTATTATTATTTAGTCAAAAGTTCTAGAGTAATTGAGTAAATCTAGTTAATACCTGCCCTTGACTGTTTGAGCAATATCACTTTTACAATTTCAATAAATCTTTTGCATAATATATATTTTGTATCTTTGGAAGCCATTGTGACTTCTGAAATTAATTGTTAAATACTACAAAATAGTAATAATAATGTGAAAGCATCTACAGTGATTAATTCAAACATGCCTTTTTTCTACCAATCATTTGTATATTCCCTGATGTGTAATAAATTTTTTTCTTTAATGTTTGTAGCTTTTACGTTGTGTCCTTGCTATACTTTAAGTGGGAATGAACCACGTCTGGTTTAAACATATCTGCAATGTATGTAGATGTTGATTTTTAATTTTGTTCATTTCTTTTTCTTACTGCAGAATTCCATATCTTCAGATGTGGCCTACCCTGTAGTGACACATCTCACTTTCATTGCCCGTACTGTTTTACAACTATTGACAGAAGGGACAGGTTTGTTAATCATTTGGTTAACCACACAATAACTTCCCATAAGGTGTCCGACTGTGCATCAGCCCAGGTGCCTATCCAACCAGTAGCTACCAACATCCAGGCAACACAGGCGCCTGTCCAACCAGCAGCTACCAACATCCATGCAACACAGGCACCTGTCTGCTCAGAAAACATGGTTACATGTGAAATGTGCAACCTGCGCCTGAGAAAAAAGAATCTTCGTATCCATTTGAAAAGAAAACACCAGGAAAATGTGGAGCTGATTTCACAAAATCATCATTTAAGGAGTCAGTGTGTGGATGCAAAAAAAGGTATTTTTGCTGTAGAGAAATCCTTTTATGGTCCATCAAGACCTATACATGTAATAAAAAACACCTGGTCACAATGTCACAGATCGGAATGTGAGCTTGACAGGTGTAATGTGATTGCACAGTTTGCAAAGAGAAGTGGGATTTTGCCTTTTGAGTGTGAACACATTCAATCATTACGCTTTTGTCCACGCGCCACAGAGGCAGAAGGACCTTTGTCTGAAACTACCCTCAACATCCTGGTTGACAACTTATGGTTCAGTCTTCAAAGAAAAGAACTTTTAAAAAATCAGCAGGAGGCACTATCAAATAATACGCCGTTTTCAGTTCTTCTTTTTGGCAGTGGGACAGACACAATTTTTCACGTGTCTGTCTTAGAACCTAGAATGGCGTTTTTCAGCAGACTTGGAAGGGTGATTGTCACTTATGACAAAAGAAAAAATACCTGGCATTGTGCATGTACAGAGGGAAAAAGGTCCTGTACGCACAAGGCAACGGCAAAGTGGCATCTCTTTGAAAAAATGCCAGACATGTTCGAAGCGGCAGTAAATTTAGAGAAGGATGTTATGTGTGGGACAACAGCATCAGGATGTCAGGAGGAAAGTCGTTCCATCACTGATAAAACAGCAGAGAGGATAATCAAGTACTTGATTTACCAGAAGAAAATACCTGCTGATCTTCCTGACTGTCTTATCACCAGCAGTAGAGATGCCAAAACTCTCAATGGCTTCCCCAAACATCTGATCCCTTCAGAGACTGAATGCACAGAATGTGGACAGCACGTCAGACTTGGTGACCCTCAGCTGCTATCTTCCACTGCTACAATATTGACTATGACAGGAGTAGTTAAAGGTTTGTAATCTACTGCGCTCTGATTACAAGATTAATATTAATATATCTTTTTCCATCATACCAACGAAAGATATTAATAATATTTTTAATATTCTCAAAGGTATATCAACATACAGGAAGACTTGCCCCAACTGTTCCATGGTTTACTGATATCAAGACTGGGAAGATGGTATCCACAACTTCAACGATCACTTGCTGCTATCCATCCATTTGTGTCTGGTACTGAGGAATGCTTTGCAGGTCGGTTTTAGTTCTTAGTATTTGTATCAGATGTGAATATTATTTTTAACACATTTCAACAAATGGTAAAAGTGTTGGGATCCAGAGGCTTGCCCACCAGAGGGCGCCGAGGATCCTCTCCTGACTGTCTGTTCACCAGTTTGGATCTGGAGATCTACCACCTGTCTCCAGCAGAGAGCGCTGTGGGTCTCCTGGGCTGGAGCCCTCAGCACACCTGAGGATCATCAGCCCATCAGGAGACCTTCTACATAAGCAGCAGTCAGACCTTCCTTCAACGACGCAGTGTTGACCAAGTTTGGTTAGCGAACCTGAGCCTCTGTTAATTTTAGAGAATCTTAGTTGGCTCTAGAGAGAAACTAGATTCTAACTTGCCTTTGTCTTCTTTGCTCACAGAAAACCCGACTGAAGTCTGAAGCTCTGGATGAGCTTTGCCTGGAAACCT